TTGGGGCCTATTGTTGATTTTTGTGTGGTAGACCTTGAGAGGCAAGGCCAAGGTCAGGTTGTAACCTGCTCTGGTGCTTATAAGGACGGTTCTCTTCGTGTAGTTCGCAACGGAATTGGAATTAACGAACAGGTTTGCCAATTTTATCAGTTATGTTAATGTTTGTGATAAATCTTCATTCAATCCATACAAATTTCTCTGTTTCATGTCACAAAAATCCAGACGGATTTCATGTGATAATTATGTGTGGCCTTTGTAGGCATCTGTGGAACTTCAAGGAATAAAAGGAATGTGGTCATTGAGATCTTCTACTGATGATCCATTTGATACATTTCTCGTTGTAAGCTTTATCAGTGAAACTAGAATTTTGGCAATGAATCTTGAGGATGAATTGGAGGAAACAGAGATAGAAGGTTTCAACTCTCAAGTGCAGACACTGTTTTGCCATGATGCATTATTTAATCAACTTGTTCAGGTAATTTCTTCTCTGAGTAACTAAAGAAGTGACTAAACTGGCAGTTTTTCATTAAAAATTACTTGGTTAGGTGTTATACATGGATTTCTTTAATCACTGTTTCTAATAGGTGCATGTTGAAACCCCTGTCCCTGGCCTATACTCCAAGTCATCTCTCGTCTGAACAAAATATGGTGGGGTGCAGGGTCTGGAACGCCTTACGGTGTTCTTTTTTAAATTAAATTTTAATCAAGCTGAAAGACGTTTTACTTAGGTTGTGATTCAATGTCATGTGATAAGATGAACTTATATTTTGTTAGTTTCCTGTAATTATGACATTAAAACTGACAATATTTTATAAATTTGTGATTGGAGACAGGAATGGGTCAATGTCTAAAAAACAATTCCTCTTAACTCTTAGCTCATCAGGCCTACATAATCCTAATTGGAAATTGATTATGTCTGTCACTTTTATTTATATACTTACCCAGATATATTTCTCACGGTTGGTCATTCTTCATTGCCGTTTTAATGGTGTGTGCAATGATGAATCCAGCTGATGGTCAAAATTGATTCTTTCCCATGTATCATCTAAATTCTATCATATTGCTTTCTTAGATGTTGGATTTTTTTTTTCATCAATCACTGAAGTTTGAACTTGAGATATCTGCTAATTACAACCAAATGCTATGTTAGGTTACTTCAAGTTCTGTAAGATTAGTTAGTTCTACCACTAGAGAACTTCGCAATGAATGGAATGCACCATCTAACTACTCAATCAATGTTGCCACTGCTAATGCTTCCCAGGTGTGTTAATTTATTTTTGTCACTTTAATTAAGTCATTTCTCTTTATGCTTGAATGAATTTTGTGGGAGTGTTGCACAAGCCGTTTTGCTGTTCCCCTTTATGCCTCAACTTTGGATAGCTATTTAAGGGGAAAATCATTATTACAAAATAGAAACTCAGAGAAACTTTTGTGGTCGACGAGTTATGAAAGTCCTTCATTTTGGGCTTTTGACATCTCAACTTCCCAGTTACAAGAACAAATACACAGAGGCTTGTCAGGAATAGTATTTTTAGATTACATCATTTTCATCCATATGCTCTTTACCATCTTCTTTTGGATTACATTTGTTTAAGCATGTTTAAATTTAGATTCTTAGCAAAATATTTAAAGTTGTGCAAGCTAGTACAATATGAGAACCATCAGCAAAACGATCCTTCTTCTAGGTATGCATTTTAACTCTTAAAAATTGTACATATCTATCTCGCACATGTTTCTATCTTTCAATACTATGTTTTCTAATATTAAGTCTTGGCATTTATAGAAAAGGTGATTAATGATTTCTTATCTCTTAAACACCAGGTATTATTGGCAACAGGCGGTGGTGTTTTAGTTCATTTAGAAATTTGCGACGGATTATTGGTTGAAAAGAAACATATACAGTTGGAGCATGAGATTTCCTGTCTCGACATAAACCCAATTGGTGACAACCCAAATTATAGTCAGCTCGCTGCAGTTGGAATGTGGACAGATATAAGTGTCAGAATATTTTCGCTACCTGACCTGAATCTCCTTACAAAGGAACATTTGGGAGGAGAGATAATACCTCGTTCAGTTCTTCTTTGTACTTTTGAAGGGGTATGTGTGCTTACTCTTCCCTTTTTTCTACCTTGGTTTCTTTTGTTTGGTTAGGTCAAATCTTCTTCTGCAATGTGAATGATTATTATAATGGACGAGTTGTTGTGGGATGGAAGAAGATTCATGCTCTTGATGTATTCTGAAACTTATTATGGAATTGTGTCACCTACTTTTTGGTCAGAGGGAATTTTATTTCTTTAGATTTTATCCTGTGTTAATTGAAGATTTTGTATTATTAAGTCTTGCCTATGCTAACTTAAAACCCATGTTATCCAATAATTTTTTGACGTTTACGATCCAACTTGAATTTGATCTATTCAATATGTTGAACACTGTCCTCGAGTTCTAAGGAAATAACTTGCGGACTTGCTTACTTTCTGTTTATGAAGTTTGTTTGTCATTTTGTTTTCAGATATCTTACTTGCTGTGTGCTCTTGGAGATGGTCATCTGTTGAACTTTATATTGAACACAAATTCAAATTCTTGTGAGCTAATGGACAGGAAAAAGGTTTCTCTTGGAACCCAACCTATAACACTCCGTACCTTTTCGTCCAAGAATGCTACACATGTATTTGCTGCATCAGATAGACCTACAGTCATTTATAGCAGTAACAAGAAACTACTTTACAGCAATGTTAATCTGAAGGAAGTTAGCCATATGTGTCCTTTCAACTCTGCTGCTTTTCCTGACAGGTACTTCTTGGTTGTGTTGTTTGCTGAAGAATTTCTGCCTCTGTATGTAGGGATCTCAAGTTTCAGAGTCTGTCTCAAAAATTTTACAAACTTGTTCATAATTTTGTTTAAAAGTAATACGATGTCTAGAAATAAGTTCGAGGATTGTCGGTTAATGCCTTTTTGTCCCAACTATTCTTGTTTTGATTATCAGCCTTGCAATTGCAAAAGAAGGGGAACTCACAATCGGCACCATCGATGATATTCAAAAGCTTCATATCCGCTCTATCCCGCTTGGGGAGCATGCACGCCGTATCTGCCATCAGGAGCAGTCCAGAACATTTGCTATTTGCAGTCTGAGATATAACCAATCGGGCACCGAAGACACTGAAATGCATTTTATTCGCTTATTAGATGACCAAACCTTTGAGTCCATCTCAACCTATGCACTTGACACTTATGAGTATGGGTGTTCTATTCTTAGTTGCTCATTCTCAGACGATAGTAATGTGTATTACTGTGTTGGAACTGCATATGTTATGCCGGAAGAAAACGAACCAACCAAGGTATTAGCACAGGCTGTATATTTTAAAACCTGAGAGTAGGAGCTTTATATCTATTCTAATCTCTTGTTATCTGTTCTCAATTCCAGGGCCGGATATTGGTTTTTGTTGTGGAGGAAGGTAAGCTACAGCTTATTGCTGAGAAGGAAACCAAGGGATCTGTTTATTCCTTGAATGCTTTCAATGGAAAGCTGCTGGCTGCTATTAACCAAAAAATTCAATTATACAAATGGACACTTCGAGATGACGGTACTCGTGAGTTACAATCTGAATGTGGGCACCATGGACACATACTTGCTCTCTATGTGCAAACTCGTGGTGATTTCATTGTTGTCGGAGATTTGATGAAGTCCATATCCCTGTTAATCTACAAGGTTAGTCACTATCACCCAACTCATGCTCGTCTGCAATTTAGCTGCAAGAACAAAAGAGAAGCATAAATTTGGATGCTTTATTTGTTTCTGTAATTCTGAATGCTGATTGTTGTTACTTCTGCACCAGCATGAGGAAGGTGCTATTGAGGAGAGAGCTCGTGACTACAATGCAAATTGGATGTCAGCAGTTGAAATTCTCGACGACGACATTTACCTCGGTGCTGAAAATTACTTCAACCTCTTCACTGTTCGAAAGAACAGCGAAGGAGCAACTGACGAGGAGCGCAGCCGCCTAGAGGTGGTTGGTGAATACCACCTTGGTGAATTTGTTAACCGGTTCCGACATGGGTCTCTTGTAATGCGTTTACCAGATTCCGAAGTGGGTCAGATTCCAACCGTTATTTTTGGCTCTGTCAATGGCGTAATTGGGGTCATCGCTTCACTACCTCGCGAGCAATACGTGTTCTTGGAGAAACTTCAATCCATCTTGAGGAAAGTGATTAAGGGTGTGGGAGGACTGAGCCATGAGCAGTGGAGGTCTTTCAACAATGAGAAGAGAACTGCAGAAGCTAAAAATTTCTTGGACGGAGATCTAATCGAGTCGTTCCTTGACCTCAACCGCAGTAAAATGGAAGATGTGTCTCGGGCGATGGGCGTTTCGGCTGAGGAGCTTTGCAAGAGAGTAGAAGAGTTGACAAGGCTACATTGATTCGAACTGGTCTGCACTTCAAATCAATTTTATTTATTCATTGTTTCTGATCTCCCCAGAATTACACGCTTGGATTTGAGATCACTGTTGGGTTTACCCGCGTTTAGTCTTTTGGTACAAGAATCCTATACTGATGTGCTGTTTATCTTGTTCATCCTTGTTCATAGAGCCGTTCTTCTGCTCTGCTTTATCCTAAAGCCTAGGGTTCAAGATGCAGCTAAACGACCTTCGTCAACTTCAGTATTGGAATTTATGCGAACTTTATTTTCAATATTTGTTGAAAGCAGCCGCTTTAGTCTGATAACTACAAGCTTTAATGTTCTTTTGTCTAAAATGAATAAACTAATACAAGAACAAAACCGATCAAAAATGTCTCAGTGTTGTCCATAACTGCTTGCCCATTTCATACTCCTTTTACTTGAAGTATATGATATTAAAAGTCATTGTTGTTACTTATTCACTTTTCGTCTATATAACATTTTCTTTTTTAAAATTATTTTCAACTTATTTTCTTGCTGGTAATATTTTCTAAAACATTTTTATCAAAGATTGACTCAAAGTATCCAACATATTTACATTGTCCCGCTATCATGCTCAAAGCTCTCAAATTGTTCTCCGACTTTGGGTTATTAAACTTACTTAAGGCCATAATACAAGAACAAAACCACGATCTAACATGTCTCTGTTTCCTCATTTCAATAATAGGAAACAAATTTAAAGCTCATTCATGTTCTTCAATGGAGATGGGGATTCAATCCATCATCATCCCTGGTTTGCTGCTGCAATTCTTGATCGGCATTTTTCAAAAACTGGTCCCAACCACTTCCAGGGCTCGTGTCCAAGTAATCGAATGGAACCGCAGTCTTCAATCCTGGCCTCACCGCCCTCCGGCTCTCTACGATTCTGAAATCAACCTCTTCATTCTGCTCCTCCAATTCCTCCCAAGTGAACAGCAATGGAAGTGTGAATGCACCCCATGGATTGAAATCCACTATCTTAACAGCTTCATTTTTCGTCACGTACACATCGAACGTGTAATTCTCCGATTCGAAGCTTGACTTCAAATGGTCGATGAAGAATTCTCGGATGACTTCTAGCAGGCTCTCCGTCTTCTCCACTAAAGCAGGATAGAACGTTGTGACCTCACGCTGGGAAATGCCAACCAGGTCCCGATTCCTCACGAAGCAACGAAACTCCATCTCTGGCCGAAGGGACGGGTACCACTTGCGCAGCGCAAGGAAGAATCTCGACGGCCTCGACGACGATTTGTCGGTGCAGGAATCATACGCGTGACAGAGATCATGAACGAGAGAATCCGACGATCGAAGCAAGAGCGCAATCTCACTGAACGAACAGCACTTCAAAGTTCCGGTAGAGCTAATCCACGCAGAGTCTTTCGGTGCGCTCCAGTTCAACTTAGGGAAGACGGAACCGCCAAGAGACAAAATCGACTGTTTAACGTCAGATTCAAGCTCCGGAAACGAAGGAGGAGAAGTGGATTGTTCCGATTCATCATCCGATCCTTCTTTCAACTGGTAATCCTCTTTGTCCTCGGGATTAACGACTCTGTTAGGAAGAGCATCCTCGTTGGAGATGGAAAGTGGAAGGAGAAAAGGCCCAGAGTCGTCGAGAAGGTACTGAACGAAAGATTCTGGAAGCTCGTGAATTAGGGTTTTGATAGAAAAGGATTTGAATTTTGGATACCATTCTTGAATTTGGCAGCGATTAACTTCTTCTTGCTTCATTTGGTTGCAGCTACACTGGTTTCCAGTTCTTCGCTAGGGCAGACGCGTGGGGAAGACGAAACCCTGCGCTCTCGGAAGCTTTTATACCCCCAAATATATATGCAACCAAGGTTAGTTTTTTTTTTTTTTTTTTTTTTTAATTATTTAAGAAAAATCATTTATTCTTCGAATTGTAGAGATGTATTAATTAGGGTTGAACTAATAATTATATCCAATAAATTTTGATAAAAAAAAAATATATTTATAAATGTTTCTATAATTTTTTAAATCGTTGAATAAATTTACTTTTTGTTAATATTATATTAAAAAAAATATTTTTTATTTTTTTAGTTCATGATGTAATATTTTATTTTAATGAATCGGGTTAAAATGAAATTTAAAAATATATGATTGTATTTCTCTATTATTAATTTTTTGGAAACAAATATATATTCTTCTTTCACGGAAAGAGTTCAAATAATTAGACGAGAGTCCCTTATCATCTGTCCGTTGTTAATAACTTTAGCGGAACACAGAACACGTATGTATGTTTATTTGGACTCTTCCAATCAAAGCCTAACAACGTTTTTTTCTTGCAATATTGAAAAACACTTGGGGAACTTCATAGGAAATGTTGAATGAAGATGTATATTATATCTGCTCCACTGCATCTGTGGTTGTGGATGGTATGTTTGAATTATGATAGCCTTCTTCCACTGATACCCTTTGCTTCACTGCACACTCCTTTGCTTCTCTGTCCTTTCCCCACAGAAGGATATACATTCCACTTATGATCATCACTGACCCTATAACACTGCCACAGCATCACATTTTTCAGCAATTTTTTGGTCCTAATCAAGCCACACACACTACAGAACGTTGAGTTTTGATCTTAAAAAACCCCAGCTTAGAAACAATTTCTCAGTTTTGATCAAGAAATAGGAAGAAAAAAGAAGAAAAAAGAAGAAAAAAGCAGACCTTCCTAGATGAATCTGTTCATGCAAGATGAAGAAATCAAATATGGCTGCAAAAACCTCCATGAAAGGAGTAAAAGCAGCTGTAAAAACTGGCCCTTTCTGTTTCACACACCAAGACATCCCCACATAGCACAGCCCTGAACCCACTGATCCCTGTTAAGCCCAATCACATCATCATCAAATATCAAACAAATTTAGCAACAAATAGGTTAGGGGGAGAAAAAAGACTGATACTTACAGCATATACGAGGCTTAAGATAGCGAACGTCCCTTTCACAATGAACACGGAGTTCTTCCTGTCTATAATCAAGTGTAAAACAGCTGATTGAATGGCACTGAAGAAGGACATGATACAGGTACTAGAATATTGACATGGATAAACCTTGCAAACTCTTGATTGCATAAGGAACCAAGATGACCACATGAAACACCCTGCAGTCAAAACCAATGAACCTATTAGCCACTTTCCTGGTGTTTCAGCTTGAACTGTTACACGAGCTCCGTTTATTTTCGCAGTTGCTGAACCCGGGCTGGTCAACGGCATTCCTTTGTACAGAATCAGAAGTAAGTTTCCTGAAATGCACACCAGAGTCCCAAGCACTTTGGCTCTTCCACCCTTGCTTTTCATGTCCACTTTTTCCATTCTAGAAAGATTTTGAAACCAAAGTTACTACTATCATCACATTGGGAAAGAAAATGAACTATGGTTCGTTTCGGTACGCACCGGAGTAATACGGCTAGAACGAACGTATTTACGGGCACCAGGTTGAGAAATGCACAAGAGAAAGTTGCAGATGTGTAGTGCAGACCAATTAGGAATAGGTATAGTGTTAGTGTTAGCCTGCATTAGTTTATCTTTACTGAGAAAAACATCATAAATTTATGGTGAAGTTTACAAAAGGATGTCTATACTAACCCAAGTAAGGAACTGATGAAAAGGAGGAATAAGATGTAAGCTGTAAGCTGAGGTCTGGTTTTCCTGCATTTCACCAAAAACAGAGAACTCTATAGCTTTGAATCATTTAAAAACTTCTCACATAACAAAGAAGATCTTGGACAAGTAAGAAGGAAAATGCAGGGTCTAGTATGAACCAAGGTGCCTTTACCTTTCCCAAAAATAGGCTATTGGCAACAAAAAAAGAGAGGAAATCGTCTGTCGATACACAACGATGAGTAGCTGACTGATGCCTTCATTAAGAATCTCCTTAAGTAGTATGTTCACACCTGCAAGAGCAAGATTTACTGAAAGCATTACCACAACAGGCTTCATTTTTACACCTTTTATGCCCAAAAGCTTATGAAATATGATTTTTGTTGTGAAAACACACGCATATATATAAGCTTAGCCTTTTTCTGATAGGGAAAGGGAAATAATATAGAACAGTGAAACTTGTAGCACTGCTATGAAAGCATTTTGTATCAGTTTTTGTCTCTGCTCCCTTTCTATGGAACCTTTAACAGTCATATGTTTGGAGTAAGCTCATGAATCGTCACGACGCTGACGTTTGAAATGCAGCATGTGTCTATAAGGACCGAGCAAGGTTGTTATAATCTCATGATGCCCTTTCTTGTTAATCTATAGTGCTGAGCATCTTTGAAGAGTTAGAGGGAGATAGAGAAAGCTGGGGCAACTACAGCCGAGAAACTCTGTCTAATATCTTGGAATCAAATATTTGCCATGGAAACAAAATAAAAATCCTCTCCCATTTATTATCTATTTCCATGGCACTTGAAGAACAACGTGTCAAATCTCACAAAAAGATGTATAGTCACAAAGAATGAAAGTAATGGATGCTTGGTAGATCTGATAATATGCACTCCAAAAGGCTTAGTGGTTTCGTGAACTTGAAATGGAAACACCATAGTCGTTTCCTTTTGAATACATGTCATCCAAATACATTACGAGAATCTAAGAAGCATAAAGATAGATTAGAGAATTGTATATGTGAGATCCCACATCGGTTGGGGAGGAGAACGAAACACCCTTTATAAGGATGTGGAAACCTTTCCCTAGCAGATGCGTTTTAAAAACTTTGAGGGAAATCCCGAAAGGGAAAGCCCAAAAAGGACAATATCTGCTAGTGGTGGGCTTGAGCCGTTACAAATGGTATCAAAGCCAAACACCAGACGATGTTCCAGTGAGGAAGTTGTTCCCCGAAGGAGGGTAGACACGAGGTGATGTGCCAGTAAGGACGCTAGCCCTAAGGGGGGTGGATTTGGCGGGGTCCCACATCAATTGGAGAAAGGAACGAGCGTTGGCGAGGACGCTGGGCCCTGAAGGGGGGTAGATTGTGAGATCCCACATCGGTTGGAGAGGAGAACGAAACACCCTTTATAAGAGTAAAGAAACCTCTCCCTAGCATCCGCATTTTAAAAACCTTAAGGGGAAGCCCGAAAGGAAAAGCCCAAAGAGGACAATATCGGCTAGTGGTGGCTTGTACCGTTATAGTACAAGACAGACATGACGATGTGTCTTTTTTCAAAAAATCTGGAACCCAGATACGATAAGGTCATTCGAGTCAACAAGTTTATGTACTTATATGCTTAAATAGTGAATTTGATGCATTTCGCTCTCGTTATCACTATTGCATTTGTCTATTATGCTCAACAAATGTTGGACCCGTATTGACTTATTGTATAGTAATAACGAGCAGTGCCTGATACGCATGTAGCAAGTGTTAGGAGTGTATGAGCATTATGAAGCTTGGAAGTGGTTATGCTTGTTAGGTGAGAGTGATTGCCTCTAGTTCTATATATGGCTCAAAAGTCAAATTTGTGCTTGCACTTACAAATATGAAGTGACATGAGGCAAAGATGAATGGTTCATCCTGCCATTATATGCCCAAAATGATCTTTGCCAAAATACTTTGATTCTGCAGCTCTTATGGCAAGGCTCTCCAGTACTTGAAACATGATTGTGATGCAGCAAAGCGGACTTCAAGATGTGGTATTTCATTAACGATTTGTGATTTGTTTGTCACATGGACATCTCAACTTTGTATACAACTCTTTGAATTATGTACGAGTTGAACGAGTAGAATCAGTTTAAATCTAAGCAATTGGTCTGTATTTTTTCAAATCTTCTCTTTGAGGAACAAGGATGCTCTCATAGCTTTGTTTTGGGCTTCTCATAAAAGAAGAAGAACTCAACAATCCTCCCCTCGAACAACCAACGATAACCCAAGTGCCCTCGAACAGCCTCTCCTTAATCGAGGTTTGACTCCTTCTCTGGAGTCCTCGAACAAAGGACACCCTTTATTCGACACTTGAGTCACTTTTGACTACACCTTTGAAGGTCCCAACTTCTTTGTTTGACATTTGAGGATTCTATTGACATTGGCTAAGTGAAGGGCATGACTCTGATACCATGTTAGGAATCACGGATCTTCACAATGGTATGATATTGTCCACGCTCTAGTTTGGACTTCTCTCATACCAATGGAGATGTATTCCTTACTTATAAACTTATGATCATTCCCAAAATTAGCCGATGTAGGACTCCCTCCCAACAATCCTCAACAAGAACAACATGAAAAATCCTACTTAAAAGGCATAATCATGCATCCATCTTCCTCCTAGATTGCACTTAGCAGTGGCAAAATGAAGAAGGCCCAAGAGTCCTATTCCTGGCAATTACCAAGATTCTACCCCTTTTCCCTTTCCCTAAAGCTAAATGGAGAGATACCCACCTTAACTTTTTATTTGGAGAAAATCATATGCCAATAAAAGTTTCAATGGCAAAGAATTAATGGTTTAATGAGATCAAACAAAGTATCATATATTATATTACCTTAATGGGGTGTAATAAAATAGTTGGTGGGTACAAATTTAATGCATCTAATTCTAAATTTGATTCTTGAAGGCACTCCCCACGAAGTATATGGAACAAAAGTTTATTTTAACCCGTCATTAATCCATCTTTGGCTTTAAATTTTGACTTATAAAAGAGCATCATTTCAAGTAAAAAAAGATGAACAGGGTAGCTTCAACTAAGTCAAGAAGCACCATCAATACACAGCAGCAGGCATCCCATTGAGCTCTGTTTTTATTGCTAGGGGACTGCAAGAGGGTTGTCAATATGATTAGGAAATGCTTGTTCTTGAGTTTTCCCTCAAATTATTGGCTGAAACATTGAATTTGGAGTATGATTATTTGGTAACAGAGAACTGAGCAACACTTATCACGTTTCCCAATGGCACTAAGAACTGTCTCCCAAAGCCTCTTATATTAGATAGTGATTGATGGGAAGTGTGATTATTAGAGCCACACCTTGCAAATCAGAACAAAATGGTCAAAATCCCCATGGATTTTCTTCAACCAATGAAGTCAAGAAAACTCATTTTGTTGCCTAATGACATTTCACTGTTTATGGCCTATAAAGTTTGTTTGTTTTCCTTTACTTTTTTGATGGGATATGGCGAAAAGGAAAATCATAGGCCTTTTTTTTTTTTAGAAGTTTTTGGTTTGATTTTTGGACTGAATTTTAAGCATTGGAGGTTGATTTTTGTGGGAGGACAGAAGCATAGTCGTCCAATTCTAGTTTCAGATAATACTCCATTTGGATGGCCTAATTTAATTGATGCACCCGTTTCACTTAAGAATATTGCTTCCAAGCTCACCGCTAGCAGATATTATTCTCTTTAGGTTTTTTCTTTCAGGCTTTCCCTCAAGGTTTTTAAAACGCGTTTACTAGGAAGAGGTTTTCACACCCTTTTAAAGAATGTTTCGTTCTCTTCCCCAACCGATGTGGGATTTCACAATCCATCTCTCCTCCCCGACCAATATGGGCTCTCACAATCCACCCACCTTCAGGGCTCAGTGTCTCGTTGACACTCGAACCCCTCTCCAATTGATGTCGTTCTCTTCTCCAATCGATGTGGGATCTCACAATCTACCCCCCTCCCCTTCGAGGCTCTACATCCTTGCTGATACACCGTCCGTTGTCCCCCCCCCCCCCTTCA